CTTGTGTTTCATCATAAATTTATCACAATTTCATTATGGAGGAAGGGTACAATATTGTGACTGGGTCTGAAGTAGGTATTTGTGTATCCCCACTTTTCCGGGGTAGTGAACATGTCCGTGCAAAAATGCCATACCCCTTGATTTCGCCCCTTCTTTATGTCTGACTCCCGTCTCCCCCCTCCCCCCCCCCCCCCCCACTCAGTGTTATTTAGGGTACGCATATGCTCGTTCCCTCTTTTTGAAAGCACCCCTATCTGAGGATTGCCAACATTTCCGAACCCCTCTTTCGCGGGCTTTTCACGGGCTTTTCCTGCCTTGGAGACCCCCCCCCCCCTAAATCAGGAAAAATGCTCAATGCACCCCCGTAAATTCGGGATAACTTCTCAGGAGTCCAAAGAGATCAGAGGAAAAAAAAGGAAAAACACCCCCTTTTTAAAGAAAAATCCGGGTGAAAAGTCAAATACACCCCCCCCCCCCTTTTTTTTTTTATACAATTCTCGGGCCGGACTTTGTCGCACGAAAAGTACCCCTTTACCGGACATTTTGGCAACACGCATGCGGTCATTCCGACCCCTGAGTGTGTGTGTGTGTGTGTGGGGGGGGGGGGGTCGGGGTCTGACTACACCATATGCATTGTCCTCAAAATTAATAAATGGAATAACAGAAAAGACCCTAATAGCAAATCATGCATTTAATTGCATTTTTTAAAACTGTAAACGTGTGTTGCATTTCTTCCCCCTAACATTCCTAACTTGAATAAACATAATTCGAATACGAATGGCAGGTGTTAATTTGAATGATAAAAATGACGCCTCAACAAATACCAAAACGGGAAAATTGAATGGCTATGGCAAAGCCGAGCTGCACTAACTTAAATGCAAAGTAAATGAATTCGAATGACAAACTCGCGAATTTCGCCAGGAAATCCTATACTAAAGAATTTATTTCAATAAGCATCATAGTTTAGTTGAGCAGGTTATCATGATCGCCTAATAATCACTTAGCGCTCATTATTTACTGTCATTGCCATTGTGCAAATGTCATAATAGTTCAAAAGTCGGATCAGAACAGAACCGGAAAATAAATATTAGATTCAATAATAAGCACACACTTCACACTGCTTGACGTCATAGCTTTAAAAGCACTCGAAATCCTCATTTGATCCCGATTGTTGTCAATTTTACTCCGGATAATAATAAGAATAGATGACCAATTAAACGATTTATAGCAGGTCTTTGTTGTGTTTTCCGAATTTAGACTTTAGAAACACCCGTCTTGATAAGATCAAAGGTATTGAACACTTTCCACGTCCTAAAAAGTAAAGTCGATCTCTCTCTTCCTTCATATTTTTTAACACGATTTTCAAACCCCTTGTTTCCTTTTTTTGACCGAGGAATTAAATACTACGGTGTAATCTCGAGTTTAAGAGAGAGAGAGAGAGAGAGCGAGAGAGAGAGAAAGAGAGAGACAGAGGGAGAGGGATAGAGATGGTGGATGCGAAAGAGAGACAGAGAGAAAGAGAGAGAGAGAGAGGGAGAGAGAGAGAGAGAGAGAGAGAGAGGGGGGGGGGGGTAGAGATGGTGGATGCGAAAGAGAGTGAGAGAGAGAGAGAACGAAAAAAGAGAGAGAGAGGGGGAGCATGTACATCCTAGTATTAAGTGACAGTAACACAACGAAATAACCATAACAAATATACCTAAATTTGAAATTTCCCAAGTCTGCTTATTTTATAAAAGAATTGTGTATGTTCCCCGCTAGTAAAATTAATTGCAATCAAATGGAATCCCATTTATATACATAAGTTGAAGCAATATTACTTAAGCCTATAAGGCACGCTTTTGGGGGTCATGAAAAGCAAATTTAGTAAAGACATCGTACAAAATTATTTTAAATTAAGGGTTAGTAAACTATTCAAATTTAAAAAAGGCATCTCTTTCTCTTCTTTATTTCTCTCTGCACCTATCCCTCTACTGAACTCTCTCTTGCCCATTTTTATTTAGTTATCCCTCATCCACTTTTTTCTCACCCTGACTTTGCCCCACCACCACCCCCCCCCCCTTCCCCGTCTCACTTTCCCACTGTCCTATATATAGTTTATCCACTTCATCATTCTGTCTACCTGTCTGTCTTTTTCCTTTCCTTCATTTCTCTCGACCTCTCACTCTCTTTCTCACCTGAAGATGGTAATTTCTGTATAGAGTGGTGACGTTTTTCAATTTTTGGAATTTCTCAATTTTTTTCTTCATTTTCAGAAAGAGCATCAAAAATAATCTCTGAATGTCGAAAACCAATTGAATATGTGAGTATTGGCTGAGATAAGACCATCTGAATAAAAAGATTTCCTATAGGAACTCAGTGTTATATTGCTCTGGTTCATAACATTATGAGCCAGAGCAATATAACACAGAGTTCCTATGGGAAATATATTTCAGATGGTCATATCTCAGACAATACTTAACATATTCAATTGGTTTTCGACATTTGGACATTATTTTTGATGCTCTTTCAGAAAATGAAGAATTACAAAATTCCAAAAATAATTGTTCATGTCACAGCTTCGGTACTCTATTGAGTTTTGCAATTACCAAGATGGTAATTAAGTCAAAGTCAAATTAAGTCAAGTTCCAAAGGCCAATTTTTTAAGATCACTCAAATAAGAAAATACAACTTGCACAACAAGATAAATATTATTGTTCACATTATTTAATTCAATTGTAACAAGTTTTATTTGATACAAAAATGATGCATTTGTATGATACTTAGTATACACATTTAGATTTGTTCATGATTAAAAGGCACCATATATACAGCGAGAAGAATTATGGGGAAACAAAAAGGTGAAGCTAAAACCTGTTCCTCACTTTCATAAAGGTGGGCTTAAACCTGCTTAACTCAGTCCACTGAGTTATGGGGCACCAAGTGTTCACCATTTTCTCAACTCTTTACAAATTAAAAATCAATGTACGGTAATTCTGTATTGAAATGACTAAATAAAATTAATGATGTCATAAAATGAATATTTCATGTGGAAATGATTTCTGTTGGTTCATTTAGTTACATAATTGTGGTATAAAATTACCATGATTAGAAGATTGACAGCTCAGTGGCACTTCATAAATCAATGCAATAAATCTACAAACATAAATTAGTTTGTTGCTATGAATACTGACCTATATGACTTTAAAGGCCTTTCCAATGAAATAGGACAAGGTAATTAAGGATTAAAGGTGCAATTCAACATTCTTTTAAATCCTAATCATTGTGTTAGAAAAATACATATAAGACTCATATATGTTAGGGTATATATATATATATATATATATGTTCAAACAAAATAAGAGTTCTCATGGTGAAGTATACTGTAAAATAAGACCTGTAGCGGATTATTCTTCCCTTTCTTTCTTGTTTTATATTTAGAAAATGTGCCTAGGCCCGAATTAAGACCATATTAACCCAACGAATCTTACATTTCAGAGATACATTTCACCTTTTAATAATGCTAAACCTGTGAGTCTAGCTCTGCAGCTACGATCATAAAACCACTAATGAAATAACTCAACTATTTATTTATTTATTCATTTATTTTAAATGGTTTATTTCATTAAAAAACATTTGCGGAACTATCATGCACCATAAATATTGATATAATCTGCCTTCATGGAAACCTTGAAGCACTAATTGGCTTTGGAAATTATCCTGCATGTACATGTAGAGTGCCTGATATTGAATACTACAATACAATTCATCAAATAAAATGTACACCGGGTTAAGATTTTCTCTAAAACGTTACTTACTGCAATACAAAATAGATAGTCAAAAGATTATTTACATGATTTGTACATATATGAAAACAAAATATGGACGGATAAATATTTGATCATAAATATATACACACTTCAGTGAGAAAAATACCCCAGTAAACTATGTGAGGCAGTTTTTGTTCAATTTGATGTGAGTTGCAATTAGTTTCTAATGAAATTCTCTACAAAAGAAAGATACCAGGGCACAGCCTTTAACGGTAATAACAATATTTTTTTTGGTGAAATATCATCTGCTGAGAGGGAGAAGGGCAACAACGACTCTATAATAATATTTAGTTCTTGCATAGTGCATATCACATTATATTACATCTCTATGCGTTTCCAAAGAGCTTTGCAAAATTATTAACCTAGTTTTAGCTCCAGCAGCGGTTATCTGCACACAGTGCATTGCCAGAGGACATTAGTGACGCGGCGGGACTTGAACCATAGTCCTTGTGATCTACAGTCCGGTGACATATCCACTCGACCATCACACCTCTATGTAACCATAGATCAGATGACAACCCTTTGGCTCTTTAATTTGACATAATGATATTTATTTAAATGAAAAGGATTACCCTTTTGAGGGAATTTATCCTGGTTATTTTTGTTTCTGAAGACCTTCAACATATGATATCATCACTATTTGAGAATATGTGTAGGCGAGAACTCTGCACACTATCAAAGTTCTCTTTCAATGCACATTACCTGGTTAATAAATATAAAAATTGAATGAGACAGAATGATAATGTAAAACCAAATTTTGCAAGATGAAACTTGCAGGAATTGGTGAGGACGGTCATTACTGTGCAAGAAAGTTAAGAAACTGTTGTAATTTTTTAAAAGGCAGCGTGGTATCAAGTTCATTTCATTGAATTCATGGCATGAAACTTGTGAGTCCTAGCAACTGATGACATCTCTGAATCATGCATGAGAAAGTTTTTTGTTTCACAATGCTCCATTCAAACAAACAGTTGCAAAGTAATGATATAGCTGGGGGTGTTTCACAAAGATCCTATTAAGTTGAACTTATCTTTATTAAAGTTGGACTTAAAAATTATGGAAAGCCATTTATAGTCTTAAAATAAAATATATTCAAAGCAAAAATCAAAGTATTTTAGACTTTTTATAAATTCCCCATCAAGAACATGAAATCTCCTTGATAATAAAAAATATTAATGATTTGAATCAACATTTTATGCCTTTTGAAATAACTTTTACATAATATTTTCAAGGATGCTAACAGCTTTCCATAATTGTTAAGTCCAACTTAGAGATAAGTTCACCTTAAGATCGTTGTGAATAAAAGTGAGAAAATGTACACATTTCATCTTTTCACCTCCTTGTCTCTTTGGCAGAACATTTGATATTCTAGTCCATAAATAGATGGATAGGCTGATGTGTTACACCCGTTGGAGCTCAATAACAAACCTTTCAAATTCGTCATGTTCTTCTGTCTGACATTTGACAATGACATCTGCATTCCTGAAATAAACAAATACACTTCCTTGTTATAACAGTTTCAAACAGGTGAAGCTTGGTGCTAATGCAGCAATGAAGGATTCTTGCTTGATTCATGGCCTTGTTTAGTTTAATGAAAGAACAGTTCTGTCACACTTTTCTACTGGAATGGATATCTTTCAGATAGATTTTAAATGGTTTAAAAATATTCGGTATATCAAGTTCCAGTCCCATAAAACATCTAAGCTAAAAAATGTTCAGGGACAATTTTTCAAAAAGTTTTTCAACCAAACCAAACCAAAACATATGTGACACAAATATCTACTGTAAACTATCAAATCATTAAGTTGTGAATCATAAATTATGAGGTTCAGGGCTTTGCCAAAGCATAGGAAAATAATCTACATCTGCCACACCAGACAGAGATGATGTAAATTGGTACCCTTGGAACAAAAAAGCGCCTTATAAGGATAGTGAGACTGAAAACCAATAGTTTGAATCCTGCCCTCAATGTGTAATAATAATAATAATAATAATTATAGGCATTTCTATAGCGCCGTCTATCTAGAAATTCTTTTCCGAGGCGCATTATCTGTGTCTTTATAACTAATATAAAGAATGGAGAATTGCAACTGCATTTCATTTGCGATGAGTTTTATGCAATTAACCATTTCCAATGAATCTAGTAGGCCATTTTTGTAATGTAATCAAATTTAAGTGCCTCATTATAAACTATTTAATTCACCCGTCACAAATAGTTGTATTGCAATACCGGTAGTCAGAATGCGAGTCGCACACATTATGTTTTGTTAGGTAGGGCGAGCAATAATGTTGTCCTACCTAATAATACATAATGTATGCAATACATTATGTACTATTGCAATACAACTATTCGTAACAGGTAAATGAAATAATTTGTAACATAGCACTTTAATAACAAAGATTTATGTGTTAAATTTGATTACATTACGAAAAATGGCTTATTGAACTTTGTTTCTTACCCTAACTCTGCATCTTTGTGACTGATATGTATATTAGAGAATGGTGCAAGTAGTCTGATGGCTGCTCTTTTCTTCAATACCTCCACCGTGTCACTGTCTTTCAACTGGAATCTAAAATGCAATGGAGTTATATAAACAAGCAATAAGTATTGGGTCCTGCTTAGTTTATACAAAAGAACGGTGAAAAAAAAAAGGTCTACAAATTGTACGTTATGTTTCGCTTTACAATGTATGAAGTAAGTGTATTTCACATTATTGTATTCCTGTGAAATGCATGGTAAATAATATACAAACATTGTATTGAACACATATCTTGCATATTCATTTTATTTCCAATGTTCAGTTAGGCCTGCTCCAAAAAATCAGTACATGACAGAAATAATGAAACAGAAATACAAAGAGAATTAGAAGAAATTTAAAAAAATCAACAACAAAAGTCACAGAGAGGAAAACTTAACTGAACAAAAGTTAACCGAGTATAAGAATGTATATTTAGCTCATACTCTTTTATTTCTTTTTTAAATTTACATTTTAATTCTTCTTTACAAAACGTTTGTTCTTTTACATTAAATATCATGAATCATTCATTTATCTTTTTCATTTTCAATACAATTATGTGAAGGTTACGTATGTATATATCTATTCATGCTTCATATATCTAATAATTATTTTATTGTTTTATATAGCGTACACATGTATCTCTTTATTTTCAGTAATGCTTTAAAACAAAGCTTTATTGCGCTTTGCTCATTCCTTGAACCTTACAGTATAATCTACAAAATCTGCTGGTTGCTTTATCTATACTTACGTCATCTTTTCAGGATCAACTTTGCTTTGAACATCGGTTGATTCTTCCTCTGATTCTTCTATTTCTTCTTCTGCAAATCAAAAACAACATTTATATTATGTATGAAAAAAAGAAAATTTAATGAAAACTGAAAAGATATGCTTGAGAAAATAGTCTTAAGACACATTTATTCAAAATTGCTTTCGATGATTAACTAACTCTGTTCACTTTGATGTGTATTCCATATTATGTATTGTAATTTGTAGGTTCCTTTGCACTTTTTCGTTTTGTTTAATATGTAATTGTTTATCCCTCTATTTTGTTTGTTATAGCGCTTAGAGACTTCGGTGGTAAGCGCTTTTTAAGTAAAGTTTATATTATTTTTTATTTATTAAAGAGAAAGTAGTAACATCACATTGCATAATGCATATCATTGCAAATTTCAATTTAAAAGTTCATTTTTTCTACATATGAAAGTAGACTTTGTCTTAAAGAATATATAACCCTACAAATGTTTCCTATAAAAAGAGGATATTCTAATTCAATGTCAACCCGTACATGGCATATACAACATATGGTTTTATGACTTATGATTTTATGAATGGCTCATTTGGAATAGAAGATACAACAGACTTATCTTACTTTGACTACACACTATTATCTACATTTACAATGAACACACTAATAAAATCAGATTGGCTTAAAGTAAGGTTGCATTTCTAATTAAAAGTTGTTTTAAACCAATACCAAGATGACTTCAATATCATTGTACATCTTTTTTTAAACTGCAAGTTATACCTCTTGGACTGCATATCTCACATGTTTTTTTATACAATATATCAACCAATAATAGGAAGTAAATAAAACTAGACATATAATACTTGTTTGGAACAAGTATAGGTGGGCTGGTCAACTAACATTTGAGACAAAATAGAGCAAAAATAAGCGACATACTGCTTACAAATTCTTAAAAGACAATATCATGTAGATTCATAACGTGAACTAAATTCACCTTCTATAGGCATAACACGCAAATTATGAAGTTTTTGACATGAGGCCTTTAATCAAAATTTTCACTATGATGACGTCATCAAAATGAAAAATGGTTATTAATGCGCTTGTAGAGAATTGTCTTAGCTACAACATATCGAAATTTTGAAGAAAATTGATCAAAATTTACAGAGATACAATCAATTTTACATAAATATGCTGACGTAATAATATGCAAATTCGTATTTTGAGTTCCAAGGCCATTGTGATGATGTCACGATACACTTAATGGCCAAATGAGACATGGAATCATATTTCCGACTCATACTCTATCTTAATATGAAAACAAATTGAGGATCCCGGTGCATTCCAAAGAGCTATAACGGATTTTGTATAGGCATGTTTTTGCCCATATATGCTATGTATTAAAAGACCTCGCGCGCACTGACATTTATCTTCAATTTACGCTCATCTTGTTAATAATGGTCATAAAGAGATAAACATGGAATCAAATTCCTTGAAAAAATATGAGAAATATCAAGAAAGAAAAAAAAATGGCGATTCTCTGTTTTTTAATGGTGTTACGCGCGAAAACGCGCACGCATGCTCGTACGCGCGATTTTTTATAAAATGCTTAAAATGACCTGAAACGTATGCAAAATAAATTTGAGACGATTTTGATCATTTAAAAATTTTGCGCGCGCATTGACGCGCGGACGTACGCGCACGCGCGCGTTTTTTGACCTGAAATTGACCGGACAGATATTGACCTTGATCATGACAAATATGAATGAGAAATGCCTTTTGGTTATGAAGATATGATCATGATTTGATTTTCAGAAAATTTCACAAAATTGCGCCTAGGTGACGTCATTAGTCAAGGTCAAGGTTGAAAACCTTACTGTGTTTTGTCCATATGCCTATACATATGTGTGCTAAATTTCAAGGCATTTGATTGAGCCATTTTTAAGTTATCTTGTTAACAAAAAAGTGGTTAGAAATAAAATAAATAAATAATAATAAAGGCAATTTTAACAAAATTATGAGGTGGTCTGTATAGATACAGCCCACCTGATAATAAGAAGCATATATACCTTGCTCCTTGAAAACCAGTTCATAGTAGAAGTGAGCTGGGTTCCTGAAAGAACTTGGCCAGATGTAACCTTTGCCCTTAGGCTTGTATTGCTTTGTGACCTTTGACCTAGCATCCTTGGACTTCATGCCTATCCCATAAACATAGAAGAGTTTCTTCCCTCGCGTACCAGGAGCACCCTTGTAGATGTAGCGGTACTTGTACTGATCATCTTGGCTTGCAACAGCAGCTGTAACCATTAAGAGGTGATTAGTAGATGGATACAAAAAATAGGTCTTAATTTAATATGGTAGATTTCAAAATCAAATATTGATATAAATAGGTTTCATTTGCAACTGAATAATATTATTGAAAACATTTAGATAGAAGCTTCAAATTTTGAGGAATAGTGGTTTGCACAAATATACAGGTAGATTGAGTAAATTTGCAAAAGGAATGTAAATTCAAAATCAAGCCACCAATCACTTTGTGGAAAGCTGAATTCATCACATTCACAACAAGTGTATTTTAATCACCTGCCCAACTGTTTCAGCAGTAGTACTTGTATTTTATCAATGGATTTGATACAAAGCTGATCTTTGTAGATTGTCATATCAAGCATTTTAATGGCCAATAAAACACTTCAGATTTGCTATAAATTGTTAGACTTGTCATGAGGTAGGTAACATTTATGTATATGGCTTAGAACATCAACCAGTGTTAAAGCCCATCTGTACTAGTTTGGCTGGAGGGGGGGGGGGGGGAGGGGTTAGACCTTCCTGCTAGGTTGCTGACAGGTGGTTATCTCATCAAATCAGCTCTCAATTAACACAGGAAAAAGGGGATCATGGGGGACCAACAGGCACTGATTATGCATTGTTTGCTATATAGAGGGCAAAAGTAGCTATAAGTAGTATGTAGTATCGCCATTTGGCTTACCATAGTCACATACACATACACGCATACAGTACAACAACATAGAGAGACAGTGACGTTGTAACTAGGACAGACACAAATAAAACGTGCCAGTGTAGCAGCTACTGAACTGATATCTGAAGTGTGACTGTGTCATTTATTAGGACCCAATCATTACAATGGCGACGAGATGGCGAGGGTAGTGTTCACAGACCCTCTAGATTCAAACCCAGGACCAAAATCCAATTGAAACCAGTTGAAATCTCCAACTGGTTTCAATTGGTTTCAACTGGTTTCAATTGGTTTCAATTGGTTTCAATTGGAATAGAAAATTTCCAGTTGAAACCAATTGCCGAACTGGAAAATATTGTTATGGGTACTCATTTCCAGTTCAAACCAATAAGAAGTGCAACTGGAACCAGTAAGGTAATTTTTCCAGTTTCTCAATTGGTTCCAGTTAGAAGTCATTTCCAGTTACCCAACTGGTTCCAGTTAGCATTCATTTCCAGTTAGAAGTCATTTCCAGTTACCCAACTGGTTCCAGTTAGAATTCATTTCCAGTTACCCAACTGGTTCCAGTTAGAATTCATTTCCAGTAACCCAACTGGTTCCAGTTAGCATTCATTTCCAGTTAGAAGTCATTTCCAGTTACCCAACTGGTTCCAGTTAGAAGTCATTTCCAGTTACCCAACTGGTTCCAGTTAGAATTTATTTCCAGTTACCCAACTGGTTCCAGTTAGAAATCATTTCCAGTTACCCAACTGGTTCCAGTTAGCATTCATTTCCAGTTAGAAGTCATTTCCAGTTACCCAACTGGTTCCAGTTAGAATTCATTTCCAGTTACCCAACTGGTTCCAGTTAGCATTCATTTCCAGTTAGAAATAATTTCCAGTTACCCAACTGGTTCCAGTTAGAATTCATTTCCAGTTACCCAATTGGTTCCAATTGGAAATATTTCCAGTTACCCAACTGGATCCAATTGAAACCAGTTAATTTGCATATTATATGCTTGTGTGCAGATCAATGTTTTATGTAATTTATTTTGATTTACAATGTACTTATTAATTAATTTTCATTTGCAAGTAATGCATTTGTTTTAGATAAATATAAAGATTAATTAGCAATGATAAGCATGTTCATTAGTAACATATTTTTGTAATTACACAGATTAAAAGTTGATGAGTAAAACACTAACCATGTACAAAATACATCAATTACAAACATATATAATGGCAATGCCTTCCTTGTTAAGTATATTATATGGTCTGCATATTATAATGCCCTTTACATTGTACTTAATGCAGACACATATAACAATGTTTCTGTGTTGACATGAGCGATAATTAGTGCAAGAGCTAATTAACTTATAACTAATTAAGTTTATGCCAATTACTGTAAGTTTCAATTGGATCCAATTGAAACCAATTGAAACCAGTTGAAACCAGTTGAAGCCAACTGGTTTCAATAGGGAAATTGGAACAACTGGTTCCAATTTGAAACCAATTAGGCAACTGGATCCAGTTGGCAATTGGTTTCAACTGGTTTCAATTGGAACCAGTTGGCAATTGGTTTCAACTGGTCTCAATTGGAACCAGTTGGCAACTGGTTTCAATTGGAACCAGTTGTTCCAATTTCCCTATTGAAACCAGTTGGCAACTGGTTTCAATTGGTTTTGCTCCAATTGGTTTCAACTGGATTTTGGTCCTGGGAACCCACTGCTAGTTTGGAGTTGGACTGGATGTTATTGTTAACAGTTTTAGCTACATTGACAGACTTTTCGCATGCAACGAGTGTATCGTCTGCACGCAGTGCTCCTACATGATGTCGTGCAGTGAACGTGAGTGTGCAGTATCAGCCTATGCATTATACATGATTACCGCTGTTCTGTGAACTTGTGCCTAGTATCATTAGCCATGAATCTGCCTCAATTCGAACGCTTTCCAGTTCATGAGGATCCCACCAATGTTGGTGTCAGGTGGGAAAAGTACATGAAGCGGATGGAGAATTTCTTCACTGCCTTCCAGATCACAGATGATGCTCAGAAGAGAGCATTGTTGTTACACTATGCTGGTCCAGAGGTTTCGGATATCTTTGATACACTCCCAGGGACAGGTACAGATTTTAAAGGTGCTAAAGATGCACTTGACAAGCATTTCTCTCCAGCTCTTAACGTCGAGTATGAACGCTTTGTTTTTCGCCAATGTAAACAATCAACAGATGAAACCGTTGAACAATACCATCTCAGACTTCAACAACTCTCTGCAACTTGTAAGTTTGCAAACACCAGTAGTGAAGTCAAGTCCCAAATCATCATGGGGTGTACGTCAAGTAAACTCCGCAGATACGCCCTGCGGGAGGAGGTAACCTTGCAGAAACTCCTCATGTCGGCGAAAACTTTCGAACAAGCAGATCGACATGCCACTGCTATAGAAGCTAATTCTCAAGATGCAGTCCAAGCTGTGAAATATCAACCAGCACCTGCTCCAGCTACAAATACAAACCGTTTTCAACAATCTCGCAATCGTCCATCTAGATCCTCCACTAAGTGTCGCAACTGTGGTGGGGCATTTCCTCACAAGCAGGACAAACCATGCCCGGCAAAAGGTAAACAGTGCCATTCGTGCGGGAAAATGAACCATTTCGCCAAATATTGCCGATCTAAACCTTGTACCCCGCAAAAGACGATCCAAGCTTCTACACATACTTCGGCACAGTCTACGGTAGACGACACCACTCATGACCCTGATGGCGACGCTTATGCCTTTCAATTTAACATCAACTCGAAAAAGGGCAATAAACCAATGGTGATGGTTAGTGTTGATGATAATGAGCCCCTTTCAGCACTGATTGACACTGGTTCTTCGGTGATGATGATGAGCAATGAAACATTCAGTCGTCTTAGGTCCAAGCCTCATCTCGTCACACCTTCCATCCCAGTGTATGCTTATGGTAGCTCTACTCCTCTTGATGTGATTGGGACCTTCCATGCAACTGTCAGATACAAGTCAAAATCGACGAAAGCTAAAGTCTTTGTTACCTCTCACAATGGAGACACGCTTTTAGACATCACCACGGCCACAGACCTAGACCTCATTGCTCTCACGTATAACTTGCAACCAGAGCAGACATATGCAGACCGTTTCAGTGGGATTGGTAAGCTAGCTAACTACAAGTGTCACCTTCATGTCGACAAGTCGGTGCAGCCTGTTGCTGTTCCGCACCGACGGATCCCGTTTCACCTTCGAAAACAGGTGGAGAGCGAACTTGACAAACTGCAGAAACTTGATGTCATAGAACCAGTTTCCCACACACCTACACCTTGGGTCTCTCCGATTACTATTGTTCAAAAGCGAAATCGTGAAGACATACGCATTTGCGTCGACATGCGCAATGTCAATAAGGCTGTCATCCGTGAGCGCCACGTAATGCCAACAGTGGATGACCTCATCTCCGCTCTGAATGGTGCCACAACCTTCAGTAAGATGGATCTCAATTCAGGCTACCATCAGCTAGAACTAGATGAGGACTCTCGCCAATACACCGTCTTCTCAACTCATGCAGGCCTTTATAGATATAAACGTCTTAATTTTGGAGTCTCCTCAGCGTCAGAGATTTTCCAGCATGCAATCCAAGCAACGCTTCACGACCTACCTGGTGTCCTAAATATCAGCGATGATATTCTTGTGTTTGGCACCAACAAGGCTGAACACAATGCTCGTTTGGAAGCAGTCCTCAAGCGCCTCTGTGAAGTGAACTTAACACTCAATCAGAGCAAGTGTGTTTTCAACACTGACCATGTGGAATACTTTGGCCATGTCTTTTCAGCCAAAGGTATCAGTCCTGATCCCAAGAAGGTCGAAGCCATCCAGTCTATGCCTGCACCTCAGAACGTCTCTGAAGTACGCAGCTTCTTGGGTATGGTAAACTATTGTGCCCGATTCATCCCAGGCCTTGCCTCCGTTTCTGCGCCTCTTCGCCACCTAACAAAGGCCGACTCTGAGTGGGAATGGGGCACCTCACAAGCAGACGCCTTCGCTCAGATCAAACAGCGTGTTTCACAGTCCTGTACTATGGCATACTTCAATCCAGCAAGCAAGACTGAACTCATTGTTGATGCAAGCCCCCACGGCCTTGGTGCGCTCTTAGTTCAACATGACGATCATGACAACACTGTTCCTGTCGCTCTTGCTAGCAGGGCTCTTACAGAGGTTGAACAACGTTACTCCCAAACTGAACGCGAAGCCCTTGCTATCACATGGGCCATTATCCATTTCCATGTGTACCTCTATGGTGGTTCTTTCGTCGTGACTACAGATCACAAGCCACTGGTCACGC